TCGACTAATTATTTCGTAAATTATATAAAACTATACAATGAATAATCTACATATTATATATTAAAAATTGTTATGGAATGCATTATTAATAATTTTCAAATTATATTTATATAATTTATCATCAAACATTTTTTTAAATATGCAAATATTTGTTATTAAATATTAATTGGTTTTAGTAACAAATTATATATAAGCAACAATAATTCATAAAAAATTAATTTCTTTGCAAAAATATTAAAGGTATAAATTGAAATTAAATGTTATTATATAATATTACGTATGGTACTAAGTTATATTTAATAGTTATAAGTATACACTTCAATACCTAGAATAATAATAAAAAGTAATATTTATATTTATTTGATTATAACTTATAGCAATTCTTAAACTTCGATTAATTTCACATTTTTATAAATTTATATTTATATTTATGAATAAAATAAAAAAGGTATTTTAAATCTATAATTCTTCATTTGATGATTCTTCATTTAAAATTTAATTTAACAATACAATTACGTTTAATCGTAGACACTAAATATACTTAATATACGCTTAAAAGGACATTAGAATAATTTTATAAATTATTTGAATTTGAATAAATGAAACTTAAATATATGTTGCGTTACTAATATAATTAATAGGATTAATTAAAAATATGATTATCTGGTAATAAATACAAATTTTACCGTTTAAATGTAGGTATTGAATATTCCATATATAATTTTTGAAATATATTTTACATCGACGTGTTTGAACTATAATATATATGACATGAAGTTTTTAAAAATATTTCAATAAATATATTAGTAAAATATATGTTCTTATCTGTAATTAATATATAAATATACTCTAAACAATTATCACAACTTTATTTTTGTAATTATGTATAAATCATCGATTTGTGAAAATAATTTGATAGTATTTTAGCACGCATGCGTACAAATTCAGTTTTGTAAAGTTGATTACCAAAAGATGAAAATTTTAAATGGGATTGAATTTTATATACTATTTGTATATATTATACAATTGTTATTATTATTACAAAAGTTTTATAAAATTTTATTTATAATAATATTTACTTAAAAATGAAGTATGTTATTATGACGAATATCCGCAATTATGTTACAAAAATAAATTATATTGTTCTTCTATTTTAATTAATTTGATATATATATTATTTATAAACATAGCACGTAGTAAATAACTAATCAATCTTGCAATATCTTAGATAAGTAACTACAAATTTGAAAAATATTTATAGTACGGTAATCCTTTTTGAATTACAATTGATTTAAATATACGGAATTAAACCTTGTAAACATTGTTTTGAACTATTTTATAATAATAAAAAAATCTTTTTACGATTAAATTACGATTAATGACTACATAACTTATACATTGAGCTACTTAAGTAGTAATTTTATATTTAATAATAAATAGTATGAAAATTTATCTTTAGTAAATAACCACGATTTATAATTTTTTTATATCGTATATATATATATATATATTTTTATATACATTAATAATAAGTTGATAATAATAAGATAAATAGCGCATATTCAATTGTACTTCTTATTCAAGAATTATTTCTTTTAATGTAAATTTTCTAAATAATTATAATACATTAATCTAATAAATCTACTTTGATATCAAAAACGTAAAAATAACTTATTATTAATTCTTATAAATGTATAAGTATTAATTGTATTAGATTAATTCAATAAAAATATGTATAATTTTTAGTTGTAGAATAATTGTTTATCTAATCATTTATTATTAGACATAATTTAAATGTTATAGAATTTTATTAATGATGATTTAATAAATGTATATAAATAAATATAAATAATTAAATATAAATAATACTAGAATTTATTTGAAATATAAAATGTATTTATAAATGTATTTGTGTATTAAGCTATATTCAAATATGATAAATCATACTTTCTAATCAAATATATGAAATAAAATTTCGATGTTTATCAAATACTTTATATAGTTAAATATTTACTATACATACTATAAATCCTCACTCTACTCGAGTAAAATCAATTTAAATATAACAAATTTATAAGTTCTCAATCTTCGATTATCTTCGGACAAATATTTTTAAAGTATTTTAGTCATATTCTTTAGAAATTATATATACTACTCATTTTCTGAATTATAACAAACATTCAGTGGAAAAAATAAAATAATTTAAAATTAATTGTACGATATTAAACTATAAATTTATTGTTAAAAATTGAACTGATCGTAAACTTAACGTATTACAATAAAAAATACAAAAATAAGAAAATAATAAAAATAGAAATATGTCTTAAGATTATACAGATATTAAGAGCAGTAGAATACTGCGTCGATATTAGGCTGTACTAGAATGGAAAAAAATATAATAAAAAAGTATATTATTTAAAAATATATATGTAAATATATTATATAACTGAATATAAATAAGATATATTTGTTAATATAATATTTTTTATATAAAATAGAAGTTATTAAAAATAACATTAGATATAGCACATAATTTCACTTTTAATCTATTTATTTTAAAAATGACCACAAATATGAAATTGTAATATACTGAAAACAAGCGTTCTTTCGACCTATATACAATCATATACCTGTAAAATTACAAATTTATTTTTATCTACATGTATATACACAAATCTAATAAATAGAAATAACAGATTAAATATGCAGAAGTGTCTGCATTACACCAGCAGAGAAGGAATAATTTTCAGGTGGAATAATGGTAAAAATGAAGATTCTTTATAAGGTTTCCAAAGTTGTATATATATTATAAATAGTATTATATATTATATTAGATAGTATTCTAGGTAGATAGATAAATAGATAGGTAGATAGAGATAGTGTGAGAGAGAGAGAGAGAGAGAGAGAGAGTGAGAGCGTGGAGAGAAAATGATAAAGGAGGGGGCGACGAATGAGAGCTAATATGGAATAAGAAGTTAAAAAATGGAATGAGAATGTATGTACCAAAAATCGATGAATGATGTTAGTGCGAATAAAAGATAGTTATAATGGATCTCGGAAGTAATTCTTGATTTCTCTAATTTTATCTTATCTTTCTCGTTCTCTATATATACCTAATAGCACAAATGCATACATATATATGCATATATATTTTACCTCTACTTGACTTTATAACATAAAAGAAACAGCAAACAATGATTGAAGGGCGATGAGAAATCAGAAAAAAAATTAATAAAATTATAAAATATAAAAATATTTGGATAAATCAAATATAAAATTTATTCCTATAAAAAATTAAAGAAAAACACTTTCATTAATTTTTGTAGTCATTTTATCTTAATTCTATCATTTTAGTTTTTTATTTCTATTTCTTCATATTCTATACTCATATTTCTATTTAAATAGATTTACGCAGACTTTTTACGATTATGAAATAAACGATACGGATGGAATATTTGTAATACATGCATTTTCTCTCTTTCTCTTTGTTAATAATTATGTAAAAATGAATTGGTATATCTTTACTTTCATCTCATTTCTTTTATTTGCGGCATTACTTCCGTTTCTTACCTTTCACTATAACAAAGTTTTTATGTAAAAACATTCAAGCGTGCAGTTATTTTTTATAATTTTTATTATTCTTCAATTATTAATATTTCTTTTTTTTCAAGAAAAATTTTTAATTAGATTTTATATTGGACATAGATGTTCATTAATATTATTAAAGTAAATATAAATTGTGAGAATATGCCAAAAGTTCTACTTATGCAAAAATATAGAGAAGAGTGCTAAAATACACAATAAAGAAGCTATGTGTACTAATAATCGAGCGAACCAAATTTTGTTAGTGCTTTATGACCTCTTCTCTATGAAATTTTCGTTTTCTTTTTGTGTGAACGTTGTTGTTTAATTATTATATTATGAAGTTCGTAGATAGATAGATAAGTAGGTAGGTAAGTGGGTAGACACAGAGAAAAAGAGAGAGAGAAGGAAAAGACTGCGTATGCGCGAGTTTCGGATTCTAGGCCAGCAGTAAGCTACATTTTCTAAGCAGTAGTAGTCGAGCGACAAGGTGATGCTTACCGGTAGTGGCATCATAATATAACGCACACCGGGATATATACAAACAAAACTTGCTTTAGGATTTTCTACTTTCTCTTTATTTTCCTCACGTTCTCAATTCATCTTCTCTGTCTGATACTCTCTTTCTATCTTTACTCGTTCTATTACGTAAATATCTATTCATATACATAATTATTTCTCTTTCGCTTTTCGTTTGATCGAGCCCGCGTTAATCAATTCACTAAAACACAAACATATATAGCAATTTAGGTAATCATCTATGAATAAAAAAACAACCGTATAACGTGGATGCCTAGTTGATCGATGATGACAATAAACTAAAAGATGAACACGCTAACTGGCTGGCATTTAGTGCATTGCTAATACGATGTATGCGTTTGTAAAATTTGTCATTCATTGTTTTGATTTGCTGTAATGCCATATACCATTTTTAAGTATTATTACTTCTAAATATCGATTTTGGTTATCTTAAATTTATTTAAAAACTCTACGATTATTACAAGTGGGAACGAAATTATAATGAAAAAATGTATCTATTTTTTCTTTCTTTATATTATAGGAGTGTACAGCAGTCGCGGCATCTCGCGTTTACTTTGTGATTTCCCGCGGAAGGAACGTCAAGGAAAAAGGAAAGAGAAGGAAAGTTATACACATAGGATGTGTCTGTGAATGTGAGAAAGAGCGAGGGAGAGGACGAAAAGAGTAAAAGATGGATTCGTCCGAGTAAGTCGAAAACCGCCTTGTCGATTTAATAGATCCACAGTAAAGAATCAAGTTAGAGGCAGTTCAAAAGACGCATACACAGAGGGAAAGAAAGTACCAAGTGAGTAGAAAGTAAGAACAATATTAAAATAATACTAAGAAAGAAAAGATAAATACAAATTTATACAGACAAAAATTCAAAAAGAGAACGAGAGGTAAAAATATTTGTAAAATATAACATAGAGAAAAATTGAATAATATATATAAAAAGAGGCTATAATTGCATCGTGTGGAAGTGCACGCGCGCGAATGTGGTTCAATATTCCCAATGGTGTCAACGAAATGTAAGATAGAAAGACAAGAAAGGCAATCGACATTTTAGCCGCGGATGATTCCACTTACACATAACCTCACTTATTTCGACACTTATGCATACTATATGATAAATAATAATTGTACATGTGCATTTGCAAATACAATTTTTGTAATGCACATATTAAAGTCAAGTTGACCAACGTATGTCTAATTAACAGTTTCATTTGAGAATCGAGCATATATATACATGTATGAATACGTGTGCGCGTGTATATAAATAAATATATATAGACGTAAAAATGTAAACGATGAAGTTCTATAAACAGAGAAAATATACATGAGAGAGAGAGAGAGAGAGAGAGAGAGAAAGTGGTAAAAGAACATATTAAAAAATAAACTTTACACCTAGTCTTCATTTCGATCTTTTTGGAGGGGTGTGTCAAATCGCCGTTTTTGTACTAGTGGCTCCCTAAAGGAAAAACTATAATACAATTGAAATATGTAAGAGTGCCAATGAAAATATTAAAAAATTCGAAACCCATAAAAGTTTAAAAGAAAAAAAATAAGGTTAGGATAACTGAGAAAAATGAATACAGGTAGATGTGTAAGATAAAAGAAGTAAAACAATAACTGGAGTGGAGAAAAAAATAGTGTTGTGTCATGATGCAGAATGAAACCTGTTGTCCTGTCCTGGGAGCTCACGAATTTCGGCAGGGTTTCTACTGCTTACTGCCGTGGAGTACAAGCAAAATTTCATCAGTCTGTCGTCCACATTTGCAGCAAGTGTTACAACAATATTGCAATTGTTGTCAGCAGGTATTTTCCAACAACACAGACAGATATTTACAACAGAAACTTTATCAGTGGTTCAACCCTCATCAATTGGACAGAGCAAAAGAGTACACCATTGCCCTACTTCTTCTTGGTATATCAATCAAGTACTACAACAGTGCACACACCAATCTCTAACACCTGCAGGTATAAAACAGACCCTATTCTTTTCTATCATATTTTTTGTTTTTGATTTTGGATTTATAACTGTGATATCAATGATGACTAAATATATTATATTTTCATAAATATTATTTACTTTAATATGCTTTTTATATTATATACCAAATATTAAAATATCAAGTAATTTATATTAATTCTAAGAAAAATAAATTTATAACCAAATATTTATATAAATTTGTTTGGTTTAACAACGTAATACTTCTATTTAAACTGAGGGATATATTAAATATGTTGAATATATACTAAATTAAATATGTTGTAATAAAAGGAAATAGAAGAATTGAAGTATGATATTGTAATTGTAATTGAACTCAATAATTCATAATAATTTTATGAGAGAAAATTAGTTTTTATGTATATTTTTTTAACTAATTTTAAGATTCTAATTAATTAAATGTTTATACTATTTATATACTTAATTTATGTAAGGAAGTAGAATATACAATAAGTTGAATATACAAATATGATAGATAGATCATAAATCAAATAGAAATAGAATATACAAATATATACAAGATTTATATCAAAATTAATTTTTATGATACATTCGTAGTCAATTTTAACAATCACTTATTATTTTAAAAATTAGTATACAAATTTTTGAATATTTACATCTCTTACATATATTTTATATTTTTTATGTCAATACACAATAATTTTTAAAAAACAACATAATTAATAAAACATAGATCTTAGTTATAAATTGAAATATTTTTAACATGGTTTTTGGGTCATTAAAAGTAACAACATATTTTAAGAAAATTATTCCAAGGTAATATATTTATTATATTAATTAATATAATATATTCATTTTAAATTAGATTGATCAGTAGCTGCATAATTTAAAAATTTTACTTATTTTAATGTATTTTCAACATTTATTATTATTATTATTATTATTTTATAATTAATTTTTATTTTAGTTTTAAAAATTATTGAAAAAATAAAATAATAAATTCTCAAAAACAATATAGTAAATAAATTTTTTTATATTATATTTCATTTACTTCTTTAGCTTCTTAATTGTCTTATGAGGAATTATTATTAAACTCCTAATAAGTACCTTTTTATATAATATCATTATATCTTATTTTAATGTTTTATATTATTAGTAGTTGAGTAGAATATTTAAAAATTAAATTATGAATATTTTAATTTCGAATTTATTGCTGTAATCTTAACAGTTGATACAATTGAATAATTTTATATTTTAAAAGCAATGGTAGCGCGACATTAAACTATTTAATTGCTTATTAATTTGTACTTATAATTAACAGTCTGTAGCAATAAGCATCTAATCGAAATTTATAAAAATTAATTTAGATAATCTATCCATTTTATAATAATTTAATATTATTTTTTTAATACATATGATTAAGATAAAATTATACTATAAATAATTTTAAATTTACAATTATCATATTAAATTTAAATATTTTATGTTTATAGATATAAAAAAACATGTATACATTATAAAAAAAACAAAATCATGGATATATTAAAATTAATGCTTCAAAATTTTAATTATTTTTTTAATTAATTACAGTACAATAATAGTTATACGTTTTTTTATAGGTGCACATCGTCAGTGTTCGGAAGCGCTCGATGTTATTATCATCACTGGACGAGTATTGCAAGGGTTCGATGTACCAGGGGAATTTCTAAGAGTGTCACTGACTCAAAGCTTACCTCACACGGACATATGTTCCAGATGCCCGGTATGCTCAAGTCAAGCGGAGCTTATTCAATCGAACAAAATCATAAATTTGTATTGGCGATACTATTATCATTTTCATTGCCAAAATCAAAATTATCAGAATTTTTCGGCTTATCGAATAATTTACAGAACAGAAATAAAAGTTGTACGTCACAATATCAACAATGCGAAGAACGAAATAAGCGCCGAGCTTTTTGGCAGCAATGCCGAGACGCTATACGTGGCCGCGGCAGCTCGTTGGCCTGCGACCCGCAAGCTGCAAGCAAAGCGGGACTTGTCTAGAGTCCTTGCATTGGCGCTCATGCGATTCGACGCCTGTCCCACAATTAACCGAGCCACGGGACCGTTCGTATTAGCAGTATCAGCATCCAAACGACAAACAATACTATCGTTATCACCGCTACTACCGCTATCACAACCACACTTACCACCAGTACCATTGTTAGCTTCAACAGTAACAACAGCCACTACGACCAAAACGACGGAAAGTCACGATAGGGATGATGTGGCCCCTAAACGCTCAATTACTGCCTTGGCTGAGAAATCGCCATTTAGTGACGAGAAGACATTTGCTGCTCACAGCACTGCCTTTAAAAGGAGTCGACGCGTTGAGTGGTACTCTCAACCGATTTTGTTCATGCTTTATTTATTAGCGTTGCTACTGGAGATGTCTGGTCGTCACTGTGCTGTGGCAGGAGTTGAAACAACATTCAACTTGAGTTCGATGTCACTTGACAACAGTAAAAGCGGAGTGGTAGAGGAACAACATCCTTACAACGAATACATTTGGGAGCTGAACCAGTTGAACCCGTGGCTGTCGGCGTGCGATCTGGCAGGACCGGCGCCCGCTGATCTCCAGGGTAGTTGTGGGCCTCCGGAAGTGCCAAAAAATTGTCCAGCCCCTTGCAAAAAATTACATGAACGTATGGATAATTTAAGCCTGTTTGACGATGTTATGAAATCATTGAAATACATTGGAAATACAACATTGGCGCACCGTAAAACACAGCAAAAGAAATCGTCAAATGGTGAAGAAACGACGATAGCTCCGGAACAGTGCCTTTTTTACCTCGAGGAGTCGCATAAACAAGATGTCTGTCGAGAAGACTTTGGCCAAGCCAGCTCCTGGAGTTTTATGAGCCCACGAGAAAATCGATATTGGTTAATGAGCGGTCTGCGTTTGAGGCATTGCTGCGAGCATGCAGCAGTGAACGCCTTGGCGCCTGGCAAAGGTGGACCGTTTGAAGCTGTACTCAATGGTGGCGATGGTTGTGTGAAAGCTATGGAAAAGTTACTTTTAGTGGATGCACTTGCCGCTAGATTACACTGCGAGTTCGAAGAAGTACTGGCTCGTTATGACTGCGGTCAGTCTTATTCCGTCATTCACAATTGCACCCACTGCAAGGTCAGTCTCTTATTAAATAAAATTTTCTATTTATAACCTGATATATTAAAAACTAATATTTTTAGACAATTATTTTACACAAATTTTATTTAAATAAAATTGATGTGTGTATAGATATGTATATATTTAAATATATAGTAATATATTTTAACGAAAATTTAAAAACGAATTATTTCTTAAAAAACCTAATTATTAATTTTTCAATAAAACAATAACGATGTTAGTGCTTTTTGTGAATTATTTAACATAATTCAATATATTAATAATTTTAAATTTTTAATTCTTTTAAACCTTTGTAGTTATTAAAATTATTTTTAAAAACAAATAATGCTTGAATAATATTTATTGTATAAATTTATTATTCTAATAGAATCATCTCACATGGAGTACAAATTTAATCATATTTGTCTTTTTAATATAAATCTAAATTTAAAATAAATATTATTTTTCTAATACAATGTATCATTATAATTTTTAAATTATAGTTTCACTTAACAAGTGCATTTCAAAATATAAAAGTTAATTATTTTTATTGACCAGTATGTAGTGATTTAAAATATTCTTACACCATTCCAATTTTATTTATTTAAAGATTTAATCATTTTTACATGGTATTATAATTTATACATAAGTAAATTTATGAAAAATAGAACTCTAAATAATTTAATAATAAAATGTTTTAAACTATACATCATTTGAAAAAAAATATTTATTAAATTAGAAAAACTATTATTAAATTTAAATGTATAAACATACTATTCTAATTACTATTATTTTACAAATTAATTTAATCGACTTATTAAGGACAATAATAAAAATGAATTAAAAGTGTACTAGTAAGTCTCAGAAAATATATAATTCTTAGTTTTTTAATACTGCATTAGAACATGTAATTTTTAAATGTAGTAATGTTATTGATTCTTTCACTTCATAAAGTAAACTTGTAGCTTTTCGTTATTTTAAATTATAATTAAAAATATACACAATTTACATTGAGAAGTATAATATATATTTAATTCATATAAATAGTATTATGTTTTGTAATTATTAATGAATAATATTTCACAGAATAACTTTATATTTAAGTTCTATTCAATGAATAATTCAATGAGGAGAAAAGAAATAGAAATTGAGAGATAAAGATGAACAGAAATAGAGATATAATGGAGAAAATATTAAGGCAGAGATAGATTATGGTTTTAATTTTTTCAACTTAGATCTATTTTTTTTTTTCATGTTTGACACAGTTTTTTTATATTCAGAACAGATGATGTAGTGATATTATGACTATTATTACTATGTACCATCATTTGTACCCAGCTTTATAGCTAAAACTGAATATATATTATTTGTTATTATATGTTATTATTATATGTTATTATTATATGTTATAACTAAATATATATTTGGACAACAAATCAGACAAAGAAGAAAGCTCATTTTTCAGTTAATCTATTGCTTTCCAGATTTGTTAAATTATTTATGGTTCATTTAATTTAATAACTAATTTACAATATTTAAATAAAAAATTATAAGATTTTAATAATAAGATTTTAAAAGTAATATAAAAAATTAATAAGATTAATAAACTTAATTCATTAAAAATTTACTTTAATCGATTATATTATCTTTATTTTTTACACTTTACGTTTTAAAGTATGTTGCACTTTTTACATATTAATTATTACAGAAAATCAAGACCTTCCTCACTAATTCTCAATATTCTATCTTATATTCATTTATTCTATTTTCATAATAAATTTTTCAGATTATACCTGAATAACCAACTAAAGCGCAAAAATATCGGTCACAGTACGTGCTTAAGTGTCATGAGTGATGTAATACTGATTTTCTTTCTTTTTTTTCTAACTGACCTTTGGTACTTTTATTTTATTTTTATTTTTTCATGAATTCGCGAAGTCAGCACGACTATCGACAACAATGGTATACAACCTACGGCCACCTAATTAAGTGTTCCTTATTAAGAGAATGAGAACGTGTCGTCGACAACGTTTTCTACTGCTTCTGTTGATATTCTGTTTCATTGCTGCTCTTTCATATTAATTTTTTAAATAACATTTTTATTTAATAATTTTCTATTCTTAAACTGACTATTTTTATTATTTTTTTCAACGTTTTTTTATGCAATTTATGCCATTACAATTATTGAGAAAAATTGAAATATATATTATGGATTTATAGCTTTAATTATATAAATACTTAAATAAGATGAAAAACTTTGTATTTCATAAATAGATGACGCTCTGTGCTTGCATTAACAATGGAGTAACATAATGTTATTTATTAATGTATTGTTAAATTTTTAAACAACTATATGATTTAATATAGTTTGAGCAGCTTAACAAAGCGGAAATGAGAATTATACTAAAAACAAACAAATTAGAAATTGGAGTCTTTATTAAATACTTTTTTTAAAATTCAATATGATAAAAATTTTTATAAGAGTTTGGTACAATATTTGAAGAGACTTATTCATGAAAATAAAGTTAAAAACACATCAAGTGTTAACACTTGATTGGTATAAACGCATTGAATGGTATAAAATGTTTTAACGAAAAATTATGGAAAAAGTGTTTAAAATCATTCTTGTAAATCAGCAAATAAAGTAAGTAAATTAACAGTAATTTTAGGTGTATCAATAAAAATCAATTTTTACTAATTTGGTTATGTAAATTTTCTATTTTAGATTAGTTCGTAACAATGTGGGAAAAAAAATTATAGTTAGAATTAGTTGCTGTATCACTTAGGTTTAACTCAGAATGCATCTCATATTTCATTAAATCAATAAATGGTTTAAAAATAAGTAAATATTTTCTATTATTAAGGAACGTACTGCTACAATAAATGACTTCAAAAATTAGGTGCATAATAATCCAAGTAATATTACACAATTTTCGATTACATATATGAAAGTCAATGGTCATTATATTGATCAATCGATCAATGCATATAAATGATGCCTTTTCATGTAAACTATGAACTTTAAGAATGATGAATGTGGAATTTACAATATTTTTTATTATAACCTCTTTAAACTTCGTTTTGTATATTATATAAACATAATTTAAAGATATACAAAATCATATTTATGATTATGAAATAACGAATATATTATTAGCATGAATTTTTTTAAGTCAATTTATAGATTTTTATTAATTAATACCTTTTTAAGTATACCTTTAATATAATTCTTATAAAAAATTTACATATTGCAATTTTATGTACTTAATAAATTATTTCTAAATATGTGATACAAATTTTATCCATTTACATTATATTTTTTTGATCATTTTTTTTATGTCTAATTACATATAAAATTAAAAAGACGGTATAAGAGGTTCCAAATTTATAGAAAAATTATATAAATAATTACTCATAAAAATATTGAGAAATAAAGAAAATTAGTTGGAAAAAAAATTGAATAAAAAATTTTTTAATAAGGTAGTATTTTAAAATCATTTTTAGGCATTAAATATTATCATCGAATTTATCATAATATATAATAATATAATTTATAATCTCTTGAATGTAAAGAAAGTTTGTCAATATAGAAGAATAATATATGTTAGCTATAATCATTATAATGATAGGTAAAAAATAATTCTATTTATATTTAATTTCTTTTTTTTTTGGTTTTATACCATCATTTGAAACATTACATGTAATTACACGTTAAAACATTACACGTAATTATTTATAATTAATATCCTATAATTATATAATTATAAAATTTTATGTCAAACATCTAATTAAATTAACTTTTAAGTATCAAATATTTATGAAATAATATATGAGAAATGAAATATTTTATGTCGATAAATATGAATCTAAATTTCTAGATTTATTTATATTTTATTTATTTATAATAAAAGACGAGGAGAAGGAAACGAAAGAAATTTTTTACTCCATTATAATTCTTCTCTTTCCAGTATTTTTAGATCTAATTATATTAATATAACATTTGTTCAATATAGTTATAATGTTTGGACGGATTAATATTCTAATTCATAAGTTCTTAAATATTTTCATTTAGTATATTAAATTCAAAAGGTATTTATGTCTTATTTTTCAATCTGTATTAATATTAATATCTTTTATATCGATTACATCTGACAAATATGTAATATTCAATATTCATAATTAAAGCAATTTAGAGATTTCAATATAATATCAACAGGTTAATAATAAATTGTAATGCAATTAATGATTAAATATTTTTTACAAAATGACACGCAGTTTAATTTCATTTGTATTACATACACTATTTATATATTCGTTGAATCATACTAAATATTAATTAAAATTTTTATGATTACACAAATACTTTACGAATATAAATTTAAGGAAAGCGGTTAAAATTAATAGCCTTATTAACAATATTTTATATTACATTATATAAAAATATATTCGTAATGAAATATCTATTAATTTTAAATAGAAATTACAAATAATCAATGAAATATTTTTTATAACAACAAGATATTTTTAATATACTATTAAAAACCTTCATTATCACAATAAACACTATAAATATTTTTTTTTAAAGATATGATTTTGTAAAACATGAATTATTATTACTCATAAAACAAATAGAACATAGAATTTTTCAACTTTTTTATTTATAAAGAACAAATATATTTACATTAATGCACATCGACTACAGTTTTCATGGAATTTCCTCGTCTTTATTTTAAGTTCTTTAAGTCCTGGTCTTTATTTTCCTAATTTTTATCTTATATTATGAAAGTATTTAAATTTAAGAAACGTATATAATATAGAGAACTTGAAAATTTAAGTAAAGTAATTTTTTGAAAATTAGAAGCCGAATGAGTATTTCTGAAAATTATCGCAATAGATTTGCTTTAATAATAAATAAAACTTAAAAAGATGGATATAAAAGCCATACACTACCACTCTTTCATATTTCACTCTAATGAATTTATGTATATAAGTAATTGTATATCTGTTATTCGATTATCTTGTTGATTTTAATTTATTGTTATACTACGTTATACTAATTTATTTTTCAAAAATATTGTACATTTGTATGCACTAGCATACTGCCTCTCTCTCTCTCTCTCTCTCTCTCTCTCTCTCTCTCTCTAACTCTATAAACACTATATTTATATTTTTATAAAGTTTTTATAAAATAATTATGTATATTGTATAATTATAATAAATTGTATGAGAAAAGCACCTTTAAAAATTATGTTAACAACTACATTAATATCTAAATCATTGCTGACTATAATTATTGAATTATATAAACATTACTAAAGAAATTACTATCTGCAACATTGTTTTTCAGATCCAAGACAAGCTCATTTTAATCCTTCATTACTGGTTTCAAAAAACATTTATATACTGCATACGATGTAATATGGTGTGATAAAATTTACAGAAATGATAGCAATGAAACATTTATAGAAATGTTTTATATCAATGATCTAAGTATTGTTGGCGATAGTTGATTAGTGAGGACTATGATGTATAGACAAAAAGATTTATTTATAAACATAAATTTATACAGACATCACTTTCATTGCTGTTTGACCAAAATATATATACAAAGCTTTACTACTATTTAAATTTACTTCATAATTTGTTATGAAGAGGAGACTTTAACTTTATAAAGTAATTTTCCATAAAAGTGTAAAACCTACTACAATACAATAAATGTAGAGTTCATTCACAATTTTGATAAAATCATTCAATAGTTTTTTAATAATAATATAACATATGTTACTGATCGGTCTATTACTTTCAATGTACTATAATTATTTTTCTTAATAATTCTTGTGTTATAACGTAATGTCTTATATAGTTTTTCTCACTACGATGACAATTTGGTTACCACGTGTAGACGATCACTTATCAATCGATTTCAATTATTAAATATTATATTCTAATAATTATTTCATATAAACACTAATATGTAGATGATGTAAATAAAAAAATATATATTAATGTATATTAATAGTAGATTATTACAAATGAATTTTTTGTTTTTTAATGTATTATTAAATATACTAATAGTTAGAAAACATAATGTTCTATTTAAATTTATAAATTATTTATTTACTGTTTTAATTAAAATTTATTATATATTATTTATAAGATTTTAAAATAATTTTTAAGTAATTAAAAAAAATCTTTTAACTTATAAGGATTAATATTATATGAAAATATTTAATCTAAAAGTTTGTATAGGTTTTTCGTTGCTTTTAAAATTTTACACTAAAAATCGTAATTATTTTAGTCAGTTGTAAAACTATTTTGTTTAATTTCCATGACAAAACTAAAACCAAATATTTCTATTAGAAATAATTATAGTTTTTAAAAAAATTAATGAAAATAAGCGACTATTCTTAAGGAACTGTATTAAAATTAATTACATAGATCATCAATTAAGCATAAAGTATTTTAGTTTAAGTTATATCTCATGAAAATTTATTATGAATTATATGAAAAAAATTTACATGAAAAAAAAATAATTTTCATATCTATATTTTTTATTTCCTATATTTATAAGTAATAAAATCTGTATTATAATGCAAAAAAAATTATTCAAACAATATGTAAATTGCTAAAATTATGTATATTTTATCTCGATATATTTAAATGTTTAAATCATATAATGCGAAAACAGTCTAATTTCTTCAACAGTTGGTGATTTCCAGTACCAATTATTAACTTTTAGCTACTAATTCTGTGGAATAATAATATGGCAAAGATATTACGATCATAAGAAATTAAAATAAGAAAAAAGAATTCGGTTAAATGTTAACAAGGTAATAAGGTCACTAAGTATAAACATTCTTCAAAATTCAGTCATGATTTTTTACCCTTAGTGCAGCTCTTTTTGCACCCCTAGGAGGAAAAGAATTATATGCAGCAAAGTGCTCTCTTACTATTGTTTCTCTCTAAAAAACAAGAATAGAATTGTGTAAGAGATATTTCGAAAAATTAGTTGAGATTATAATTAAATTTTAAATAATTAATTTTATATTACATTTCTTTTTGAAACTGTTAAAATTAAAGTTATGTCATTATTTAATTTTATCTTTTAAAATTATTATCAAGAATATTGATATTATTACACTATAAATTTTTTAAATACACAATTTTGGTATTCATATTTTTATGTATTTATACAATTTTATCTGAAGGGTTTAATTTGAGATTCGATTTTTTAATTTTCTCTAATATATATTATATAAATTTGCGTAGACATTAAAAGATGAGTAAAAAATAGGAGCGTATCTTATTATTTTGATGTTACCTTATTAATTAATTATATAAAACATTTTTTGGACTTTAACTAAAAAATCGATTCAGTTATTTACTAATACACAAATTCACTAATATACATATATAAAGCGAGTCTGTTATTCATCAAATTTGAAAAGATTTAAAAATTTAATATATGAATAAAAACCTTAACACAAATAAAACATTTATGAAAGCAAAACTATTTCTACAAGGAATAAAATACAACAATATTTAAATATATAAACAAAATTTTGTACATATTTCTCATAGTACATTGTGAAGACAATATGTTACAATATTTCAAAGAATGTATCTTGTATTTTATTATATTTTAATGTATTTTTAATTAAATGTAACTATTGCAATAGTTAAGTACAATAAATTTTTCCAATAAATTAAAATAATTAATACAAATCTAAAAATACTAATAATATATTCGTAACATGTAAAATACTACACAATATTTCAAGTTGGTTTTCGAAAATTGATAATGATAATTAATACTATACTACTAAATAGTACTATAAAATTGTTTTTATCATATTTATATATTATTACCATTTTTACAAAAATACCTTTAATACACCTTATAAAGAGAAAGAAAGAGAGATATATTTTTAAAGAAACTTGTATAATATTGATTTGGAAGTCTCATAATAAAATATTTACATTCTTATGTAAAAATTTTATTTAAAAAGTAAGAACAATCTTAGATGTACTTTTCAAAAATATACATTACCATCGATTTATGTATACTTTATCAAAAAGAATTAAAATAAATCTTTAAGCTGTCATGAAAACACCTAATAATTTAGAATATAGTACTTTCTAAATTATTATGTACCTAAGTAAAATGAAAATTGTATCAACTTTTTATTAATATTAATTTAAAAGCAAAATAACTTACAATATAAGGTAAATATATAATATTTTAATATATATAGGAAGCGTACAGACAATGGGTGTGCAGCTCCCTGGTGCCTTACTTTGCTCACGAAGGGCCACTGGATTTGGAACCCTCAGATAAGTCTTGGACCGGTCGAAGATTACGGCCTTGTCGATCTCTTTGCCAATCTGTAGAGCAACGCTGTCCTTACTTACTTCCAGGAGATCGTGCACCTGCATATCCTACACAATACGCGGGTGAACCTACATTTCTGTGTCGAGGTATAATATGAATAAGGTTTCTTATACTTTTTTTAATATTTGTAATTAGATATATTAAAAACGAAAGCATTGCGAATAATTATTTTTATACATTTTTTAAATAATATACTTATACATTATATTTATGTACTCTCAAAATGTTATATATATCTACAAAATTCAAAATTTTTTTGAAAATACATTATATATTAAATTTTTTTTTAATAAAATTAAAAATTCAATATACAAATTATATTTATTAACATTTCAGTTTATAAAATTAAATATTATTCTATTATTTGAAAATAGTTTAATTTATGTCATAATTTACGTCAAATTACATAATTTATGTGATTTTATGAATGCAAAAGTAATGCAACCTTCTTAAATTCTTAAATTTTATATTTTTTAATCATTATAGAATAAATTATAAACAAGTGTATTAAATTAATTAATTTATACAAATTAATTTATATAATTATTTTTTAATATTTATGATATTTATGTTCTTATTCTATCTATTTTTACTGTTAAAATTGTGAAATAATATAATCTCAACTTCATATTTAATATTATAATTTTATATTGTTATATTAGAGTAATCAGGGCATAAATTATGTTGGCACCCTACTACTCGTAGTTTTGATGCTTCGATTAAAAATTAGAAGAATTTAAATGAAAAAAGTCGAAACGAAAAAATTGATATAATTATATTTAGGCGCTACATTAATATTTTTTTTTTTTTAATTTAGATCCTAATATACCTGAGACGGGCAAACAGGCAACAAGAGCATTACATCCAAATTCCGAGGATGAATGTTGCTTTAAAATTTGTTCAGAAGAGAAGCCAGCATTGGGTATTTGCGCTAATTGTTTAGGCCATATACCTAAGATAGGTTTTAAATATCGTGATCCATCAGTAGCACCTCAGTGTGAGATTATTACATCTTTGTCAGGTAACTAATTTTGAACATAATGTATAAATATCAGAAAATCCTTAAAAGATGCTTCATTTAATTTTTCAGAAAAAAATAATTGGAATTAGGATATATTTTAATCTTGAATTTAATGTTGTAATTGAAACAATCTGAATATTAACTATCTTTGATTCTTTTCTATTTTGCAATTGTTTTTTCTTCTCAGCTATTTGATATTTTATTTGAATTTTTTTACGCTTATTACTTATATAACGTTCTCATACTTATACATACATAAGTACATCCATTTATATATAGTATAATTACGTTGTATTTCTTGCAATGAATTTTTAGCAATATACATGAAAATAAAATGTACTTGTATTCATCATCATCGTGATATAGTCTGTTAATATATGAAATATGGTCAACATTGTGCTATTAAAAAGAGAAATTAAAATAGTATTGAGATTTCAAAAATGATAAAGAGCCAAAACTATATGATTTGTTTTTGGAATATTTTGTTAACTATGCTACTAAGAGCCTTACAGAAAAATCATTTTAATACATACAGTTTAGAAATTGTACATTACTAACAGCACATTTGTTTTATTTAAACTAATAACTTTCTTGTATTAACAGTAACTGATAAAGAGTCAAAATTGATAACAGCAGTAAAGTTTAATATCACTTATCTAAGAATCATATACGAAAAAATAATCTATATTAGGGTCTAATTAAAAAGAGGGAAAAATAGTTATTAAGACTTTTTTCATTTAGACACCTGCTACGGCAATCGCGTACATATAATCTACAAGGAATAATTATTTATTTCTGAAATGTTCTATAATATTGTATTTCCATTAAAAAAAATTTCTTTTCTTATAATTTAATTACTGAAATTCTTTGTCGTTTGTATTATATTACGTGTATATTAATTTAATTAGAATTATATGAATAATAAATAAACCTATTATATATATCTATATATATAAATTTATTTCTATTTTCAATATATTCTATGTGGAAAAAACTTATTTAAATTATAGTTTATCCCTTCATAAAAAATAATGTCCATTATAATAATAATAAGTAAAAAAAAATTAACTATGTAAAATGTCTTATTGTAGTATTCAAATAACTTTCATTGATTTTCTAATAAGCTATTTAAGCAAACATCTTTGAAAGATATCTTTTATTTTATAAAAATATTATTTATAGCTCTAGTCTCTATAGAAATGTTATTTTTCAACATAAAATATTCAAAATAGACTATTTTTAATTGTACTTAATTTACAGAACATCAATTTTTTTAATTTTAGATTAAATAGATTAACATAATATAATATATGCATTAAACATACAATTTTTATACGTTTGTCTTAATTTAATTTGTGCTTAATTACTATATAATTTAGTTTAAAATTTAATTTTTAAATTCAAAGTTAATTCTTCAAAGTTTCAAAGTTTATTCAAATTCAATTTAAATTTAGTCTTTTCTGTTAAATTACACTTTAAATTATTGTCATTGTATCAATAAGATTTTCACATTTTACTTGATGAAGTTAGTACATTTTCTATTATTATCTAATTTGTCTCACCTGTAAAAGTACCATAGAATAATATTTCGAAGAGGAAAAAGTAATTACCGGGAGACAACTGTGTCGCTGAACGCGCTAAGTACATTAAGTCCGGATAAAGTTGAATTTATTCAAGAGCAATCGAGACAAACCGTGATTGATGAGCCGTTAAGAGCGATCGAAACAAGCTTATGGATAATGTCAATAAGTTCAATAAGCCAAATTTATTGAAATAAATTGAGTGAAAAAAAAACTTGAGGTTTTTTGAAACTCATTGAACTTGAATGATGCAGTAATTGTTTTACCTGTCTCGATATTCAGTTACGTTACAACACGTTTTGTGCCACTAGTGTTGAAAGCTCGAAGTTTAAGTTAAATATAAACAAAATGATAAAATCAGTTAGTCACTGCAGGAAAAATATTCGATTTACATTTCGCATCCACATATATCCACACGCATTGAATTACCGACGTAGAAAATTCGTAAAGTTAATCAACTCTCAACAGTTTGTACGTGAATAATATGACACTTATTCCCTATACAATATATTACGCAAGATATTTCAAAACCATTATATTTCATCAATAGTCGTTCAGATTTTTTGTAATAATTAGCCTAAATGGCTATCATCTATGATGGGTTGCGTTTACATTAAAATTGAAATTTCATTGTAGATGTATACTTTTCAAGTACAACATATACAATACATTATGAGCACAAATACATGACAAGCTCGAAGGATCCAAGGGTAAAGTTTTGTAAATTATAACGTAAAATTAAATTAATACTTAATAAGGATATATTAAGTTTAAAGAAATCAACTAGATTTCTTTCGTATAGTCGATTATTAAAGTATTATTATCAAATAAAATATGAGTTTGATATGGAATTATATCAAGTATTTATTTATTAGCTTGATTTCTCAGATTTGTATTTTAAATGTTCAACATAATTAATTATACTTTAATAAAAATGAAAATAAATATATCTTTATTTACATCAAACTTTGTTTTATACAATTATTAAGTATTATTTAATAAGTTAATCTAATTTGTTGACTGGAGTAACAGATTTTTAATTAATAAAGTTATTTGAAACAATAGATTTACATATGCTACTACATATATTAGGTATTCGAATGTTACTTACAAAGATTTTGATAATGAATTGAATTTGAATCTGTTTAATTATAATATAATTAAATATATATTTATATTATCTAATTCAGGAAATATAATGAAATATAATGATGTACGCTGCGTGTAAAAGTTTTTTGTAGGATCATATAGTAGTTTTACTTCATGTTAATTATATTAATTTCACATAAATAAATAAATATCTACAATTGTATTTTTTATTTTAGTTTATTAATCTAAAATATTAAATAGTTATTGATATAAATGCTAGAAATACTCATATTTTACTTAAGTAAAGATGTTAATATATTATTTTCAAACTCGTTGCTTCTTCATTTCATTACGAAATTAATTTTATTATAATTATTATTAATCTTATTATAAAAACTTAAAATATTTCATACTAATTAAAATTAATTTCAATTCCTTTCGTCGTTATATTGTAATTATAAATACTTTAATGTTTATGTAAGGATATTTTTACTCTTATTTAAAAGATATCACGGTCGATCTTTTTTTTACTTATGCATTATTATCTAACTTATAATATTCATTAATGTAAATATAATATATAAAAAATAAATTTTTCCTTATATTATAGGTCAACAACAAGCGCAGCCCACACTGCAACAATTATCACTATGCGGTAGTGGTGGAATTGGTTCAATGATTGACAATGAAAATTCGGTTTTTGTTGATTCATCAGTCTCTTCTCTACTTTCGGACTTATCGAGCAAAACATCACTACCAATTACCACCAATTCCGTTAGCGCAAGCTCGTCATCAACATCTATCGTGAAATCATCATCGGTACCATTGTTATGTTTCTTTTCGCTTTGTAATTTATTTTTTTGTAGTCAATATGCAACGAATCATTTACTTGGAATCACTAATATTATGAAATACTTTGAAAGTCTTTGTACATCTTTCATTGAAATCTTCAAACTATTTCTTATAGAATTGTTATCGATTTTAAATTATTTTCTTCAAGATTGTAGTTTTAATTACCTAAACAATATTCATGGACATTTTCATCTTATGATACAGCTTAACGCCTCGTTTAACTTTCTTACTGCTTTGATTTCAATGACTAAAAATGGTATAGTTATTGCAGAGCGATATGTATATCAAGGATACCGATGCTACTATTATTATTGTTATCGATGGTGGCTTTGGCCTCGTCGTTGGAAGAATTTCATCTTACATAGATACAGTTTGTATAGATTCTGTAGTATCAAAGAATATTGTTGCCTCTGGTGCTATTGGTGCTGGCTTTGGCCACATAGGTGGAAGAAGAAAGAATTCAGAATTATTTTAAATAAGGATCGTATTTACTTATCTCTAAAATCGCGGAAAAAACGTCGACGGAAAATGCGTTTTAACGCGTTTTGTCGTAAATTTGACCTTGTCCGATCTACCTCTTGTTGTAGAGAATCTCCATAATCAAAATTTAGAAACCATCATAATCTTTTACGTTTCTAATTATTTATAATTTAATTTATATTATTAATTAAATAGCATTTATAACATACATTTATAAAACTTATAATTTAATTTTCCATTTTAGTTCTTTTTATTGAAAAAATAAAGGAGGTAAAATAAAAATTAATAAAATTGATCAGTAATTGAACGAGTACTTGATAAATGGTAAATAATACTGGGAATATTACTAATAAACAATAATACAATAATAATTATTGATAAATAATTAATGCATAATTCAGAATAGATGTTGTGGATGAATGTAAAAAGAAAGTCAATGAGTGTATAAGAGAAAGATGCAATATGTAAAAATATGCTGCACAGATTAATAAACAAACTTATGATAAAAGGTATTGCATTTGACATGATCTGTAATATGCTAATAATGTTATTATTATATATATATATTGTTATATACGATAAGATATTTGTTAAATTTTTTGACCATGAATGAGTGAGAAAATGATAATATTTCAACATTTCAATAATTCAAGCTCGTATAGGTGACGAAAAAGTCGAAGGAAATCAAATCGTATTCAGAACACAATTAAGATTCAATAAATTGTGATGCAGTAACATAACATGTATGAAATAAGACATCTAATTAACTGTAATGTTATTTATGCACGTAGCTGGAGATATATCCCTTGATTCATGATTACTCTCTTTCTCTCTTCTCTGCTAAAAAGTAGGCAAAATAATCTGTTAGAGGCATTAACATTTAAGCAAATAATAATAATTTATGTATATGTATTTTATGTTTGTAATAATATTAATAATTGTATATGAAAGAGTACATAATTGATTCTATGAACACATTCCTCAAAAGGGAACAGAGGGGAAACATTTATTTCAATAACTTATAAAAGTAGCTGAGGAAACCTGAAATACAGGTGCAAATTAAAATTTTATATAGTATGAACTAATTTTTTATTACATTCTTTATAAGAAACAGATACAAATTTATAATAATATTATAATTTTCTTAACATACAAAATACTGATATTAAATTTTATTATATTTTTTTAATAAAATATGACACTGTTATCGTTAGATTAAATTAATTAATTTTATAAAAAACTATAGAAATGTTTCCGTAAAATATTGATATTACTAATAATAAATATTCGTATAAAAAATACATAAAATGCGTTGTTAATGTTTAACTTTTTTGTATATTAAAAGAAATAGCACTTATATAAATTATTTATACACTAATGTGTATCAAAATATTTGACCATACAAATTTCCGAATCGATATATACGATTTCTCCGCTAAATCTTGCAAAAAAAATTTTATTAAATAATTTAAAAAAAGAAAGTATGAGAGGGAGCAAGAGTGAGCGTGTAATAGGAAAAGGGACTAAAGCACACGTATATATACAACTTCATAGAAAGCGCCTAACGGAATTTCCACAAGAATGCAGACATACCAGCTTCCACAGATTTGCAATTATAAGAGAAAAAATCTATATGTATAAATATATATCTGAAAAATAAATTCCATGCGTGTGTGTGTAAATGTGATTCTGTGTGTACGTGTATGCGCATGAATCCACGTGAATAAATATGCAGCATTGAGAAAGAGAGATTGTTTATGTGTGTGAAAAGATATGCAAAGAAAAAATTAGTGGCGTAACTTAACATAACAAAAGTTGATCATATGCTGGGTTTGGTAAGCTTTTGACTACAAATATTACTTCGATTAATGCGTATCAAGTGGAATATGAAATAATGTACGTATAGTATATTACAATAGAGAAGAATAATATAAAGATAAAAATGTATTTGATCAAGCATAACACGACATAGGTGAAGCAAAGGTGAAAAATGAAATTGAGTATTAAATGGCAATATTATAAGTGAAAAAGTGACGTAAAGTTACGAGGCAATCTGAAGCCATTATAATATGTATTCGTTTAGATATTATATACATAAAGTAAATATTGTATTAAAAAACTTATATAATATATAAAATAAAAAAAAATTAATAAAGTTTTTAGAAGTTATGAAATGACGTACCGAGAATACGCACTTATAGATGAAACTTCAAACAGAACATAAAAATTATTTACTATTGTATGTATGGAATGAGCGTATAGTAAATAAACATAAGGAGGTAAACAGCAACTAAGAAGTGCGAGATCTTTCACCCCTTTATAAATAACATTTGAAAAATATGAATAAACTGAATTAATTTATCGGTTCTGTATAATTTATCACTTCTTGAAAATTTTATTTTTTATTCTTGTAATTTATTTTTTATATTCATTTCATTTTTTACAAGAATATAAAAATTTAAGTTAGTATTGTAACCAACATGTTAATTAATTACGAGAAAGCGATGTCGATGAATATTGTTATTGCATTTATTTATTTATCTTTTAACCGTATAATGCCATATTTTAACTGTGAAAACAAATATGCCAAAACAATAAGTTTGATTAATCTTTAGTTGATTGTTGGAATTGAAGTTTTTAGAACGAATATTTTTTATACGTAACAAATTTTAATCAATATTACGTTTTCATATATAATTTATTATAATAATTTTCAAACATACATAAAAAATAAAACAGAAAATCATATGCATTTTCGTTTATACTATCAAAATATATACAAAACTTTCTCATTAATCTTCACAAATGCATAAAATTCATAGAAATCATACAAAGAATAAATTTGTTACTTAAATATCATGATATATATAACTTATAATTAAATATTGTATAACTCACATTGATTTTCTATACATTTATAAAAATAAAAATAAAAAATATACAAGAAATATATCCATTGATCATTCTTGTATATACTAAACTCAAATTAAATTGCATGTTTATATAATAATTCAACAACAATTAAATATAAACTTACAAAAATCTTTTCAAATACTTCCCCTCTACATCTTTGTCGTTTTCTCGTTGAATACTTATACTTATGCCAAATTTTTCATTTTGTAATATTGCTTAACATAATAAAACAAGTTGATTCGAAATCAAATATTTATATTACAAATAAAAATGTTTAATTCAACATTGAGTTAACGTTGGACCATTATGTATATAAACTTTAAATTTACACAGAGTTGATGTGTATAGTCGAGAAACAAAGATAATACTCGAAATATTTAGATACGCACTCTTTTTAGGAGGCTCATATAAAGTGCGTTTAGAGAATTTTGAAAATTCAATAAAATTCAAAGTCGATGTACTTAAACACTGTTTGATTAATAAAAAAAAGCTACAGAGAAACGTCTTTTTAAATTAATAGTTCTATGAGTTAAATAAATTTTTTCTTGTAGGGGCTCCCTCAATTATATAAACTAAACAAAAATAAAAAATTGATTGTATTTAAAAAAATTTGTAAGTCAGTATGGAACAAGGAATTTTTATCAAGCACAAAACAACTTTGTTACTACTATATCGAAGTTCAGTATCAAAATAGTAAGAGTTCATAAATACAGAAGTAAATATTTTTTACTACGTGATTTTTCGTTTGATTATTTGTTTTATTTAAATATATATTACTAATATTAAATATATATATTATTACAATATTTTGTAAAAATCGTCCGCACATATAATATAATATTTTCTACGAGTTCTTTTGTAGTAGTTTATAGGAAAAAGAGATTTATTAAGTAGTAATTAAACTTTGCATATAGCGAAAAGTAGCAAGTATGAAACATTGTTAGTTTTGATTGCTTTTATAACAAAATAATCGGTAAATGAAGAAATCAGGAAGTCAAATATTTATACGAGTATATATATTTGTTTCTTTACATTTCCATAACATGCACCCATGCCCATACATAGCTACATACATGCATGCTGCAATTCCATAGATACTGAACTAAGAAGTCTCCAAATTTATTTATTTTTAAAAACATATTTAAAAAATAACAATTTTTGTAGCTTGAACGTTTTATATTACCCTCTTTATTATAACTTATCAATTTAATATTGAATTACAATTAAAAAATAAAAAATCGAATGTAAAATTTATAGTTCAACTGCTAATATGAGATCAAAACAATAAATTACCTTTCAATACAATTATTTATATCGATTAATAAATTTTATTACAAAACTATGTATTAATAATATAAAAATATGTATTACGAATTTCTTTTAAATACATATTAAAATCAATTGATTTTATAGATATAAAATCATATTTAGATATTTTTAAAAACGAAAATTATATAATAAAATATTTTTAATTTTATACTTTAAAATAATAAATTTTTAGAATAACATTTTTTAAATTATTATCTATATAATTCGAAAATATTAGGGATGATTTCAAATATGTGCAAATAGTAAATGAAAGTACTTATGGATTTATCATATAATATATTATATAGCTTTTGTTTAAAATGTTTTAAAATGATATGTAAACATATTAAGCCTTTTCTTTGTTTTTTGCTAACACGAACTATAAGTAAATAATTAATTCCATTAATTTAACGCAACTGTATTTAATATATAAAACTGTATATTTTATATCTGATAGATAACCTGTATTTATTTATAAATTTACTTTTGACAATTAGGAATAAAGAAATTTTTGTGTATATATACCATTTTTTGTAAAAGAGTCTTATTTGCAACATTACTATATAATGCATTTTATTTTAATTAAAATTATACGTTTATCTTATATTTTTGTTTATTTTTGTTTATAATAAAAATTTATTTAATGATATGTGGTATTTCAATTTTTACATTTAGATATAAATGTTTTGTCGAAAATAATACAGTATACTTCTAAATAAATCTCTAAAATTAACACATTAATATAAAGCCTATTTCTAATTATATAAAAGAATGTAATTATTGAAATTAAAATCTTTAGAATATTTAATTAAAATAGCACACATACGTTTTATTAAAATCTAACGCTCCGTAATATTAAAGATATACTAAAAAATGTGTAAAGTGTAATAGATAAATATCATTTATCATAGTTTATTATGAGTGATTTAAAATATTATCAGATAAGTATATTAACTTATTTTAGCACATGTACAAAAAATACATATATATTTAATAAAAAGGTATATTCTTTAAGAAAATGGATATAATAATCAAATTTTTAAAAAATTCATTGTTAATTTGAAATTCTATCACATTCAATAATTACTATTATAGTTTGTAGTATACATCCTTATGAATAAGAATTTTCATAAATGATAATTTATTTAAAATAAAAATTTTTGAACGAACTAATTGATCTTTCTCCTCTATAATAGTAAATTAATTTTGTAAATTACCCAGGAATACAATTAAATTTAGATTTACAATGGCCAAATGTCAAGTATCTATTAGATAAAGTTAATATAAATAGATTAAGAATATTGTTTGCAGCGACCTATTATCAGTTCGGCGTACAGTACTAATTATATTCGGTAACATCCTCTTGAATGTATTAAAAAGTCGCAAGATATTTAGAGGATTTTTAGAGTAGTATTTTATTTCCATTCGATTTTAATTAGAATAATTGAAAAATGGATATTTTTTTATTAGATATATTTCATTCTTGCATTTCGTTATTCAATCCTCATTCTATTAATGAGTTTATTAATTTTAGATTATAGGCAATCAAAGGAAGTGTCTGATTTAGTATCTGCGCGTGCAAAAAAAGTAAGAAACAAATATAAGAGCGGAAAATAATATAAAATAAATAAAATAAAAATATTAGCAAGAAATCATTAATTTAGTATTATCTACCTATTGAAATATATTGAGTATTTTATCACCTGTTAAAGCTAATTATAATAAAATCTAATTAAAATATTTTATAGTCATAGTTTTATTATATATTATAAATTTATTTAATTTATTTGAAATTAAAATTTTACATTTTAATTTTTTCTTTAATCTTAATTATATAAGTCAGTATCTTTATTAGATGAAAAATGATATACAATATTAAAGAAGTAAATACTTTAATTACTAAATAATTTTGATTATTGATACAACGCAAACATATATTTATATAAGTTTTATAAAACATAGTTTTTATTCTATATATATATATATATATATATTATAATATCATAAGTTAATTAAAATTAAATAATATAAACACATTTTATTAATTAATTATGTAAATATGATTAGTTGAAGACTTTGAATTAAAATACCATTTAATTTAAATAACAAATGTTAATAAAGATAATAATAGTATTTTTCATAAATAATTATCATAAAATAAATAACAAAAAATTAGATATTCATAAAACAATTTTTTTTGTTTTCAAAATTATATCAAATATTCAATTATCTCATTAAGATTTATTGTTATTTATCTTGAGCCTTCAGTAGATTCTTTGTATCAATCATTTAAGTCTATTTAATTTTAAATTCGATGCAAAATAGAAACAATATATAAAAATAATGATAATTAAAATACGATTTAGTGAAATTATTTTTAATGAATGTTGTTATGAATATTGATAATATAATTTTTCTTTCATTGTTTTGAAGAACATGTAATAGCATTAAAAGAATATATAATAAATGCTTATGATAAAATTGAAATTTTATTTACTGTATAGCAATTAGAATATTAATAATTTCTAATTAAAAATTACTATAATTTTTACTTTATATTATTATTTCATTTATCAACTTATTATAATATAGATATATTTGTATGTATTTATAAATATAAAAATGGATAAATATGTAAAAGTGTATATTATAAATTTAAAATATTTATATTTTTTTTAATGCTGTTAATAAGTATAATGCTTTTATATCATTATTTTGTATATTCTTTAATGAAAATATTAAAATAAATATTTGAACTTTTGAATATTTGAAATTAGAAATATATTTTTACAAAAAAGAAGTTTATTCTACAAATATAATTTGAAAATAATAAAATACTTCTATTTTATTTCATGGATTAATAATTTTTATCTCTAATTATCAAAAAAATATAAAATATTTTCAATTTCTAAATAACATTGTTTTATTTATTCAGTATTGATAAATTATTTTAACAAATTATGTCATATTTTCGTAAAAAATTTGAAAATTATTATTTTTAAATTATTACACGTATATTGTAACATATAAACTACAAATATCCATTTACTATAAATTGTTTGAATAATTTAACTAATGTGTAGATTATATTAAAATTGAATGTAAAAAGGACATGAACAATTTACTTTTAATATTCATAAATAAGAGCTCTAATTATGTAACTCGTAGCTATTTAATATTTAAATAATAATTTTAACAATTAGATTTAATATTGTTATTTCTAAATACCACAGGTTTAATAGTAATACATAAAGTATTATTAAGAACAATGAAATACCATTAACCGTATTAAGCGATTTAATTGCTTGAAAAATATTTAAGATATGTGAATAAGAACACTATTAATTTTGAAATTGTACACAGTATCAATCTATAATATAGTATGATTGTTTTACAATATACTTAGATTGTACTTAATATTTTACATATAAGAGTAGGTATTATAAAAATTGAAAATGTTCTACTTTATTATCTTTATTTTTAGATTATATATATATATATATATATATATATATATATCATTTTAGTAAATATATAAATTAATATAAGAATTTGCTAAATACATTAGAATTTTTTTTTACATAACTAATTTTTTAATTAATGAGTAATTTATTAGTAAATATGCTTAATGAAAACAAATATTTAAAAAAAATACTAACATAAATTTTAATTATTAAATAAACATTATATATTTAAAAATTTAAATAATTTATTTATACATATTTAATATGAAACTGTTTCTTTGAATTCGTAAATTATTAATAAATTTTATATATACAATATTTTCATCAATTCTATAAAAAAACTTTTAGCTTTTTATCAGTCACTGAAAATGTAAATAAAAATCCATTGATAGTCCTAAGGACACATAATACTGAATAATCCTATATTTAATCTATTTTAGGTAGAATATTTTGTATTAGATTTTTCTCTATTGAACTATTGTTCAATATTCGACGAAGTTTGTTCTTGCATTTTTTTCATCGTCCTGTTGATCATAAATAAGCGGTGAACGAATCGGTACTATACTAAGTAAACCTGAAAATTCAAATTTGTTTATATTGTGTATTTTATTTTATTTTATTAATAATTTTTAAATCTCTTTAACCCAATGTTTAGAAAATTTATATCATTAAAGATATAAATATAAATTTATATCACTAAAAATTAGTAAAAACAGTACAATTTTTTCTATTGCATTCAATAAAAACCGATTGAATTTCCAAAAAACACGTGAAAAATTATAAACATAACATTAGTTTTATACAAAATATAAAATATAATTTGTTTAATTATGAAATAGTTAGATTCAATATATTTGTTAAGATAGATATTCAAGATAATTGATTTTTTACTAACTTAATAATAATATTTGGCTAATATTAATAAAAAATATTAACCAGATTTACTACATCTAGTATTTAAATAAAGTAGCATACTTGGATTCATTAAATAAGTTTCCTTAAATATGATCAAACCCAACATGCAGTTGAGAAAATTGAATAAAAATATAGAATGATCAATAGAAAAATGGACGAAGAAGAGACTACAGCATTTTTGTTAATAATATTTTATATTAAAATTAAATTTATAACAATAAATAAATAAACTTTTGTACAAAAAATAATTTTGTAAGTATACTATTTTAAAAAATACTTTAAAACAACCGGGTTATACTACAATAGATATAAGTATGTGTGTGCACATTGATGTATGCAATGCTTATAAATTTGATAATATAAAAAATTATTTTTCTATGTGGAATATCAAAGAACTTTTGTGATTAGTAATTTTAAATGATATTTATTAAGAACGTTAAATATTCTAAATTATTTAAAAATAAAATTTCAGTAATTTTAAAAAAAATAGAAAAGTTTAATGAATAAGCTTTAAACATAATAGAAGTGAATAATCACAGTCGTTTTTATTGATCTTATATTTTATTTTTTAAATTTAATTTTATTTAATTTAAATGAAAATTTGATTGAGTACTTTTTAAAATTATTTTTATTTTTAGATTTTTTTAAAAATTACTAAAATCTTATTTTTAAATAATTTAGAATATTTATCGTTCTTAACAAAAATCATTTAAAATTACTAATCACAAAAGTTTTTTGATATTCCACATAGAAAAATAATTTTTATGTTAAATTAAAAATATATTGTAAAAAAATTTACAAAGAATGGGAAATTATTCTAATATCAATAATGTATGTTTGGATATCTAACATATTTCTATTTAGCAATACTTTCACATTCGTATCTAACAGAAAAAAATGTGGAAGTATAAACTAATGAAATAAATTGACTCATTTATTTTTACAATGTATATAGCGTCATGAAAATCATTTGTAATTGTTATTTTATTTATTACAATGAGTACAATGAATCTAAACTGTTAAATTTCATTATATTAGTTGCTAAAGTTAAGTGCCTAATTTATAATCATCAGTTGTGAATATTAAATTCGTTAATTATATTGTTTAATTAAGTTAAAATATTGTATATATATATATATATATTTCTGTGATCTTTTTGTAGACTATGAGAATCAGAATTTTGATAGCAAATTTTGATTCTTTACGTAACTATCACTTCCTTAGAAAGATTTTTACCTATTCATGCTTACTTTATTTTATTATACCATACAATTTTCAAAATTAATTTATATGTAATTTTATATTTTGTTTAATTCAAATTTTTAAACCTTAAATTCGTGATCAATATTGTTATTAAATTACGTTTATTATATATTTGTTTATCATATATGATCTATATCATGAATTAAAATAAACTTATAAATATTTATCAAATTGATAACATTATTAGAAAGCTTATCTTACATTATTTATGTTATTAAATTAATTTTGTACATGTAAGCAAAACAAATAGTACTGAATAATTATTTTATATTTATCAAGTGGATTACTGAATTTATATGAGATTAATAAAACTTACCTATTGTTTCTCCTTTGATGGACACTTCTGTAATATACAATAATCAGGTAGTAACAATAAAAGTTAGTGATAAAAATTATATTAACTTTATTTGTAAATGATTTTAAACACTTTATAGTATTTTTGTTACTTTTATAAATACTTCTTAATATTTGGCTGATATATAAAATAAAAAATTGTTACTACAAATAACTATAATTATTAAAATTGTTGTATAGTAATAGTTTAATTACAAGAAATTGTTCAGACGTTAATTAAAAGAATGTGAATAAACCACAAAATATTTTAATTTATTTTTATTACTGTTAAAAGTAGTTAATTAAATTTTGTTCAGTCGTTATGTATTGAAATTTTAAATTAATGCTTGTATATTTCTTTATATGTAAAGTAAGAATGCAAAATTCAAATGAATACACAATTAAGTATTTTGAAGAAAATGTCATGAAATACCGTACATTGTTACAAAAATGTTTAACTAATAAATAGAATATTGATATTTAAAACCATTAAAGTACATATATTTTAACATTTAAAAATAGTTAAATTTAAGAACAAATATTAATATTAGAAAAAAACTTTATAAATTTTATTAAAAGAATAAAAAATGATCTAATTACTGGAATGATTACAAATATTTTCATTTCTTTTTATTTCATGAGTATTAATAAAAATATGAACACAAACTTTCTAAAATGTAATGGCGTATTTATAAATTGAAATTGTCTCAAAATTTTAGTTGGAATTCATCAAATTTATATTCTTGAATATAGAAAATGTAAATAAATTATATACACATATGTATTCTATAAAATATTTATATTGCGCTTATATACTTAATAGTCATATATAAGTTAATAATAATATTTAAGTTAATAGTTATATACAATTTAATAGTCATATAGAAGTTAATGCTCATATAAAAGATAATCATCAACATATAGTTTTATTATAATACTTACGTAGTTGTTGATAAACTTGCTTCATACGCTCAACATTGATGCGTGAACTTTTGTTATGGTTTATCATTGGTAATGAATAATCCTGTCCAATTATACATTTAGCTGTTCGCTGAGTACTCATAGGTGCATTCCATGGTTCATGGATATACCGAGTAGGAAAATGTTTCAACACAGGCAAATAACGCCTTCAAAAAGTAATAAACAAAAATAACTTTTCAAAAATAGCTTTTCTACAACTTTGAAATTATAAAATTAATTATTAAATTATAGAAATTATAGAAATTAATTGTAATGAATAATGAATATACAAAATATAATAACAAATAATTTTTTAAAATTACAAATTTTCAATCAGTAATAGTTTAATTTACCGAATGTAGTCTCCATTTGGATCAGCTTTTCTACCAAAACGAACGGGACAATAACAATGAAAAAATTGTTGAAAGAACGAGCTGCATGAAAGCCACATCCACATTCCTGCATTTATGGACCAATCAGCGTCTAATAATAGTTCATCAAATACCTAAAAAAATTACAGATTTAAATAATCTTTATATTTACAATACATATACTAATATAATGTATTTCTAAGAAATATTATAAAATATATAATTAATCAGTACGTATCATTACAGTACGATATAAATAGTTAAATAATTAGGTAATAGTCATTTAATGACATAAAAACTTTCTTTTTATTTTTAGCGCTTTAATTTTAGCTATTTAGTAATTTTCGAATAAAGGATTAAAATTTTTTTAAAAATAATATAACATACGATTTCCTTCTTTAACTCTTTTATGATGTAATAAAAAGAAAAGGAGTCATGTATTATTTTTAATCATACCTTCATACCTTCTTCCCACGAAATCCAAAGATCACCTCTAGTTAAAAAGCACGCAACTGCATGTCGAGCCAAATGGTGAATCCAACCTTCTTCCCTCAACTGAGTCATTATTGCATCAATCCAAGGAAAGCCTGTCTGACCCTAAATATTAATAATCTTTTGTTAAAAGAATGTATTTTATTAAATTTTTATTTATTAAATGTTATTAAATTTATTACTACTATTATTAAATAATGGAAATATACTGTTGAGAAAAATCATTAATTTAGATACACGAGCCCTCAATATTAGATAATCTAAGTTAAAAAAATGCAAGCCGCATATAACTAAAATTTTATTATATTTATTAAATAAATATTTAAATTAGTCTCTTTTAATTGTTAATTATATTAAAATTGTTTCAAACTCTTATCATTTTTAAGTAATCAAAATGGTTTAACCTTTTAAATATTTGTCTTTATTAATTATACATTATTAATTTATCTGGTTAATAAATAAGCAAAGTAAATTTTATTAACAACCAAATTTGAATGATTTGAAGAATATTAATGTATGTCATTATTTTGAACTAATTTAAAATGATTATTGAAATTTAAAGAAAACGGTGTTAATATATAAAGCTATTGATTCCATTAGAATGAAAATTTATTATTTTAGACTAAGTAAAAATATATATATTAAATAAAATATATAAGTAATGTATGGAAAAATATTAAATAATATCACCTAATTAGGGTGTTATTAATTTATTTATAATTATTTGCAGCTAATCTATTATAAAATATTTAAAATACAAAATTACAAAAAAAATGTTATTTTTGTCTCTTTGAGTCAATTAGTATTAAAAATGCTTACATTTGCCCATTTTGCAAGAGCTTCGACATTTTTATCCCATGGTATTTGTACACACATTGGATTACCATGCATTCGATCAAAATTTGGATTTTTTGTAGCAGCACAGTAAAAAAATTCACGCCAAAGTAGTTGTCCATGTAATGAAAGCGGTGGAACAGTTTTCTTTATCTAAAAATTGTAAAAATGTATTATTTCATATAAACTTCAGCAAATTATTGTACTACATTGCATGAGACAGATCTTGATATGTAAATTCTTTGGTAATATAATCTTAATTCATTTAATTTGAATTTAATCAGAATTGGACGAAATTATGAACTTTAATAAGAAGTTTTCAAAAAAAAAATTAATTAATAATAAACTAAGCTACTTTGTTTCCTAAAAAATATAATACAAAAATTAAAACTATAATAAAATATAATATAATATAATATAACACTCTATGCTAAAACGTATTACTATGTCTGGCTGCGATTTATAATTAATTTATATTTAAGAATCTCACATTTATATTTATTGGTGGAATTATATCCAAATTTGACAGTAAACGGTTGCATTTAGAAGGTCAAAAATGTGGACACGAGTTTGCAACAATAAGTGGGGTTTCGCTAGAGGCAAGTAAAGTAAAACGCGTAATAAATGAGTGAAAAGTTGCAAAATCGGAAAAACTTGATTAAAGCGTCTACAGCTTAAAAAAGCATTTTCTAATCTGAACAATCTGGAGAGATCGATGCTTGTCTCTTCTATGAACATATTTTTTATTGGCTTCAAGAGTGTTTTAAATCTATATTAATGTACGACAACCTCACATAGTATATACATATATCCAAATACATGGCTCACATACAAGTCTATAGAAAATAAAAATTTAACAAACTGCAATAAATTATTTCATAATATAAAAGTAAGGTAACCAGTAATGTTAAATGAGTATATTTCAAACTAGTTTAGAACGAAATCTATTTATGAAAGTGTTAGAAATAGGAACATTAATTACAGGTGATATAATATTAATAATTATTGTAAAGAATTATTTAAAAATGCATGAATAATCTAAATTTATTACATATTAAAAATGTTCTAATATATAAATTTAGTCTAAACTTTTCTACTAATACCTTTTTATACAAATCTGTAAGTTGGTAGTAAAATAGTCTTGTGCTTAAACATCCAAAACGTAGATAAGGCGATAGCCCAGTTTGACTGGGTAACAATGACTGAGGAGTCATTTTTGGTCTTCCAAAACTTGCAACCCAGGCTTTACGCTCAAGATGTCGTTCCAACCGAGCGAGAGCTTCACTCTCTCCACCGACCCATACAGGTGCCATAAGTCCTTCAGTATCAAAGCCTAAAAAGAATAGTATAAATAATATTAAATTAGAAGAACATTTTTTAATTAAAATGTATTAAAATATAAAACTATAAAACTTGACAATTCAAAATATATATATTAATAAAAATAAAAAAACTTAATAGAAATACAAAATCATGTTCAAGTGATTATATTCTGATTATTCGTGTTTCTATTATTGTATAATATTTAGATTGAATTTTTTATAAATTTAAAAATAATTAATATTAGATAATTAATTAATATCACATATGTTATCGACAAACACCATAATTTATAATCATACTTATATAAATGTACACACACACACACACACACATATATTTATATTTTATTTCATAACATAAATTTATAAATATAAATATATGGAACATTAATATATTTTTAATTGAATAAAAAAAATGTCGATAGAAACAAATATAAATGAAATAGAATAGAAATGAAACAAAATTAAACATTTTTACCTAATTCCTCAAGAGTTGGTACACCAAAAAAATCATCGTGATCATCTTTGAAAGGTGTATAAGCACTTCCGATGCAGTTAGCTGTCACAGTCATCGCTGGATATTCTGGTGCGTCCATTTGTGCAATAACATTTTGAAATTGGTGATAAGTTAGCGGTGATTTACCACCATTCATTTGAATAATTCTGAAAAGCAAATGAATTTAAAAAAAATTGAATTTCGAATAAAAATTATATCAATACATATGTGTATATTTGTTAATTTAATTAAGTGAATAATTTGGTGCTTTGAACACTGATAATAATTAATTATATTGCAGATCAAAAATAAATCAGGATAATGATTCGTCATATATTTTTTATAAATATTTCTAAGTACTTGTCGAAATGAGAAAATCATAAATTTTACTCATTATATAAATTTAAACCTAGGTAGTTCACGTTATTAAGATATTTATAAATTGTAATGAAAACTCATAATTATATTTAACTATGCCTTATAAAGTAAAATGAGCATATCCTAATAAGATTAATTTATTATTAAATATTCTACTTCATATCAACATTCTATCCATAAACTCTGTTATTTTTTATCCAGTATGTAACTAGATATTCAGTATATACTTTGATCATTTACGATTAAGTTATAAAAAAATTACCAAAAACTCACTTTTTGTTTCAAATTATAACAAATTAATTTTTAAATATTATAAGTAAGCTGAGTAATTATAATTTGAATATTTTTATACTAAAATAAATAGTAAATCAATTCGTATATAGTTTTTATATGGCAGAATCTCTAGTTCCCATTAAATAAAGAGGTATAAATTACGTATGGATTATTATAAACTTCTACTCACTCGCCAAGCTTGTATAGAGTATGTGAAACTCTCTGAATGACAGTAATACCGAGTTCTTTACACAGTGTTGTAATATTCTCATCACGTACACGTCCATAAGGCTCAGGATCTTCCTCGAAGGTTAAATAAGTGGTGCCCCATTCTTTGAAAAGTTTTGGCAGCGCATCTGCCGGCTGGCCCCGTATTACAAACAAACGAGAATTAAGTTTACGCAACGATTGATCGAGATCTTCCAAACATTGCAAGAGAAATCTAAGATTAAGAGAATAAAAAAATTCTATGAAATTAATTAATTAATTAAAATATTTTTAATGTATGTCTAAATTCAATAATTTTGTATGCATTTTTTACAAACGTTATATTTATCTAACATTTATTGAATTTTTATCACGTATTCTTTGTTTTTATACTTGATCCTTACTCAAATTATTAAAACTATTCAAAAAGAAAATAATTAAAAAAATTATAATAAAAAATAAATAATATAACAAACAAAATAATTCATAACATTTACATTGATATAAGTGATAACAAAACAAAGAATTTTATGAATAATATGATGATTTAATAGTTAAGAGACCAAAGAAAAATCAATTGTTCTGTAAATTCATGTCTCAGAAAACAATGAACGTATTGAATAAAAACAACAATACTCATAATGATTTTAGAAAATCACGTATTATGATATCTTATTATCTCAGACATATTGGAATAAAGGACAACATTTCAAAATTAATTGAACAATTTAAAAAAATTAATCCCAATCATTTAACTTTCACTTTTTATATAAAGTAATAAAATAGTTTATACAAATGCGTCTGTATCAACAAAAAACTTCTAATCTCAAAATTTAACTCAAAATAATGTAATCGATTAAATATCGTTCATTTACACATTTATAAAATTGTTTTATATTATAATTGTTGTTTATACTATTAAAAATTTGTTAAAAGTTTGCTTAATTTTACACAGCATTATACACAGCAAAAAAACATTTACATAATATATTTTTTACAATAATTCTAATCAATAATATATATTTACTTAATTTTATTAATTTACCTACCTCCACTTATTGATACTGACATTTGTACTACCAGCGAACCAAGGATCTAATACGAAGACACAGCGAAAGGTTGAAGCACCTGCAAGTCCTTCTTTCAAAGAAGGATTATCGTGAAGTCTTAAACCCTTTCTAAACCAATGTACGGTATGCTTTTTATTAGTATCTTGCATCCTAAATTCTTTATCTGTATGTCTTTCAATTATTTTCTGCTGATCTACATCTGAATTACAATTGTTATCACGATTTATTTCACTACCAATCATTGTAGACATAACTCCTTCGTGAAGAGTGCTATAAATATTTACATTATAAATTTATTGTAATAAATAAATTTTTCTGATAAATATGGTTCATAGCCATTAAAATTAAATTTCGATCGCCGTTCAGTGAATTTTAAACATCTAAACAGAACTTTAGTTAAAAACTAAATATAAAATATAATTTGACGTAAATGAATATATATATATATATACATTTATATTAAAAGAATAAATGTAAGAAGAACAAATCTATTATAAAATGATAATTACGATAAAGTTATTAATTTTGTAATTTACATAAAAATTATTTCAGATCATTTTTTTATGAGCATTCGATTATGCATAAGATTTATTTATTAATATACATATTCAAAATATATTTATTTTTAAATTCATAATATAATTAAATAAAATGATTAAATAAACTAATTCACTATTTGAATAATGTGTTTTTATAGAATAATTTATCAGAAACGGAAAAACAAATTAAAAAATTTTAAATTATGTCAAAAAAATTAAATTATTAAAAAATAAATTAAAATAAATTATATAAAAACAAAAAAAATAATTTTTAAATCACTTATTAGAAACAAAATACCAAACTTTAATAATGTACTTTTATCTTTTCGATTTTACTGGCAGAAAGTTTTAAATAATATTTAAGTTGGTTATCTAATGTTACTAATTTATATTTCGTAAAAATATTATATGGAATATAATAATGATAAAATAATACTTTTATAATTATTTAATTTTTTCTTAAAGAGTTTATTAATAATTTATTTAAGAAATATAATTTATATACAGAAAATTTATATTCGGGCCAATTAATCTTTCAATCATTTATAAATATAGCTACTGTATCTATATGATAAAAATTTGTACGTCATGAAATTTTACAAAAAATTTAAATAAATAATATAAGTTTGTTAGTGTTTATTAATAATTTGAATTTGTGTTAAAAAGAAAAACTGTAAAAAAAATTAACTTATAATTGTTCGAAACTGGAAGATAAGGATATTAGAAAATGACAATTAAATGAAAATTTATTTTAAAAAATTAACAGTATTTACAATTTATGTGCAATGATTAAAGTTATGAATATTTCAAATTAGATTTATTAGAGGTTGAACTGCGTATTGAATGGCATTAGACTTCAATTTTTATTTCTTATATTTCATTTCTATTTAAAGAATTTTATATTCGCCATAAGTGCTAACTGCTGCCATGCATCATACTCGTTCAGAAATATTTATTAACTTGTAGACATTATTATAACGGTCTAATGTTTAAAGAAAAAATAATTTATTAAGAAAAATTTGATAATGTCTAAGATAATATATTCAAATATTAATAGATTTTTTTAAAATGTTCTATATTTTTGTCTAATATACTGTTCATAGCAGCAACCTATTTCATATATTTTGATGAGTTTATTTTACTATTTCTTATACATTTATGACTATTGATCAGATTAAAATTCGAATTTTGATATAGCCATAATAGTCCATGATTTAAAAATTTACTCTGAAGAGCAGATAATTATGACGACTACAGATTAAATTTCAATATTTTATCAATTTTATCAATTCTATACTGTAGTTGAAATCGTAATATATCTTTTATCCAATTCATTTTAATTGATAAAATTTTTTAAAATTAAAAAATATCCAATTCAATTTAATCGCCGTGGCGATGCCCTTTAATACATTTGTTTAATAGCGATCTAATGCCTCGTTAAAATTTCATAATTTATCAAATTTACACTATTATCATGAGCCAGTGTTTAATTTTATTTTATTTACTGTTGCAATTATAACATTAGTTATTATGCTAGTATATATAATAGTATTAGTTATTATACTATTGAACATTGTCTATAATAATACACAACAATACATGAAAACTACTCATTTTAACTGTTTAAGCCAGGCATTTGAATTATTTTATTGCTGTTTTTTTATATCTATTTGATTATTATTAAGTTTTTCCAGTAAATTAAATTTACTTTTATATTAATATACTCTTCTTATATGGCATATATCTTGGTAGTTAATCGTTCTTCTAATATTATATATTTTTGTTAGTGTTAAGCTATATATAAATATGCATTTAGGTATATATATATAGTTAGTTACATATATTTTATATAATTAAATAAAAATAGATAACTAAATATGTAAATGTATTATGCATTCAAACTCAATTTATGTATGGGCATGTGTATATCTACGCACGCGAGTGCACGAAGTTACTACCATTATGAAAAGAAAACTGATAATTTTAAACGATCTATCCACGATATATATTTTTATAAATTTTTTTGTATTATATATATTCAATGGAATTAAACGTTTATTACATACTGAAAAATTTTTTCTAAAACATTATTACCTAAGAACCGTGCCAGATGCTTATCAATAAGTGCCTTGCTTATGAAAATAATGTATTATCTTTTTTGAAACATGCCTATCTATGCGAATAACTTAAAACTCATTTTCACAGTCATTTTTAATCATTGTTAAAGGTACTGTTTTGCAATTCTATATATCGAATAAACAAGAAAAATAAATCTTTTTACTTCTTATATTTGTAATGCAACTGTATAAATTATTTATTTGTAAAGCATTTAAGATCATATTCTTCCAAATTAAGAGGACAAAATTATTAATATTCAGTATCATTCTCTATGATTTTAAATGCCACAAATGATTGTCGGTACAATCTTTAAACAGACTAAGAATCAGATTTCTTTCAGTTAAAGTGATCCAGCTTTAAGCTACCGATTATTAAGCCACTAACCCAAAATTCTACTTGCTATTATGAAGAAAAATATATATTATATATTATATTAAATATAAATAATATTAAATAAATAATTATACAATATATTATATTAAAAATATGTTACGTTAAATAATAAAAATATATATTTAAAAATTTTTTATTATTAATAAAACTTCAATTGCCCTTTAAAATGTTATAGACAATGTTTAAAAATTATTGATAATGAAATTGAATGTTATGTGCCAAATTTTGCAAATATTTAATTGAATTATAGTTTCCAATTTAAGAAAATACTTTAGTTTACAACAAATTTTTTCCTATTTGCGTTTAAAATTTTCTATAATAATTTAGATATTTAATAAAAAATAGAGAATATAACTTCTCGTAATTTATGTACTTCATTATAAATTTAAAACCATGGATATCTTTATATGAACTGTAAAAATTAATATATTTTAAATTATTGCGTAAGACATTATTAAAAGTTTGTATTTTAATATATAACTCCTTCCAATTTATAATTTTTACATTTATCAGTAAGTAAATTAAATCACTACTATTTTTATTTTATGGTTACTTACAAGTATAAATGTGTAAAATTTTCATTTGACAATATATTTATACCTTTCATAATACTTGGCTTTTAAAAGTTACTATAATGCTTATCCATTGACAATTGGGATTTTCCTCTTAATTTATTGAAAAGCATATCGTTGAATATTTATTTGATTTTATATTGCGTAAGTGTATATATGAAATGTGTTTTATGATCAATAAGAATATAAAATAACATTTTAAAATTATGTACCAAATTTATGGATATTAAATAGTATGAATCTGAATTAAAATCATAATAATAGTAATAATATCTTAACTTGATAAACCATGTTTGTCTATACATATACAGTCACGTAATACTAATTGTCTCAATGGTAAAGTAAAATACTTAAGAAAAATATATTTGAAAAGTTTGAAATTATAATTTATTATTTGTCAAAACTAATTTAAGCTGAGTAATTTAAATATGATTCAATAACATCGAATGAATTATATTTTATTTTCCAATTAATTCTTCTGTATTATAATTAGCAAATATAATAGTTGTAAAATAAAATCACGTTTTAATATAATACAGATAAAATTCTGAACAGATACAATGTTCTTTAAATTCAAATTTAAATTAATTTGAAATTAAAAAAATATATATATAATAAAACAAATTGGTTTCGTATGAAAATTATTAATCTCTAAAAACATGTAATGATAATTAAAAATACATACAATTAAAAAAGTTGTAAATTTTAAAAAACTCAAACTGAACTGGAAAGTTATAATATTTTTTATACAAATCAAAACTATTCCAGTAACGGGAAAATAATACAATTTCACAAAAAGGTAAGAAATATATAATAAAAAATAATATTAAAAAAAACAATTATCAACGTAACAAATACGAATTAATTACAAAGAAAAGCATCAATTAAACGTTTATTTTTTATCTCTTGGTCGTTTATATTACACGAATTGTATTTGCAATGTATTATTGTACAATTGTATTAACATTTTTTGGACTGTAAATAACGTGAAGGTTCTATTCGCGAAAATTAATTTTTGTAAAAATTATAATACACGTCAATATCAAACCAAAAGTATCTTGTAAGCAAAACTTCTTACCGTCACTAGAAACAGCAAATGTCCGCGTTTGTCAACACATACTGCCTTTTTGATTGCACCACTCCAAATGCGAAGAGAGAGGGAACGTAACCACGCCGCCTGCAACGTGATCATACGGAATCCGTAAGTGGTCAGCATGCATGCGTCCAATCACGTGTCCAATCACGTTGTGCCTGCGGTGCATTTAGTCGAGGCCACAGGTTAGCCATTATCTCTATCCGATCGACGAGATTATCACCATTCTCTTTTTCATGGAGGCCGGCTCAAAAATATTTTCAGGTGAAATTTTCTATATTTTATCTGGATTACCTTCAATTATTGGAAATTATATAATTTACAATGAAATAGCTTAAAAATATCATAGCATGCATTATAAAATACAAGCTATTTTATAGAAGCTACTTATGTATTATTGATTAAGGCAGCATGCCAAGCTCTCTTTCATATTAAAATATTGATTTTTTATTCTTATACCGAATAATATCAATATTTTTATTCTATACATATGAATTCACTATAGCATGCGTGACAAATTCGAGTTTCGATGCAATTTACTTAATAATTC